ATATATATATATATATTGCTTATATAAACTCAGGGTTTCCTTGAAGCCCTTAACTGCTTGGTGATTGGTGACTTTGAAAAGTCTTAAGGGGTCTTGGGAATGGTCACAATGACCTTTCTGAACTTTTCTATACTGCAGTAGTGACTGGAACTTAATGAACAGGAGAACCTCTGTGGATTTGATGGATTCACAAGTGTGGTGCAGCAGCTGGCGGCCATCCCGGGAGGTGGAACACTTCAGTACCACATTCAATAGCTCATTATCAGTGGTCCTTCTGGGCAATTAGTGAACAGTGGGATCCTGTCACAGGTACAAATAAACATATACTTTTCTTCCCTATCAAGCTGCCTTTACTGGTTACTTGTACAATCAACATATTATGTCAGTGTCTACCTAAATGCCAGGCAGGATTTTTTTAAAGGCTGATACTGACATTAAAACAGTTTTTAAACAAACAATCATTCTAATGCGTTAATATTTTTTAACTTTTGCTGGTGAAAAATAAACATGTCAGTTGTCTCTGGTGTACTATGGCAATGTTTCAAACTCCATATTTGGTAGTTCTGTACTGTACTTCAGTTTCTTCCTATTTTTCAGTAGACATACAACCCACACCAATATAGACATACAGCATCTCTAATAAGCTCATATCATCCAATTATTAGCACAATCTAACTCTAAAGTGCCATGCACCATTTAATTTGAAAATTGTGTAAAAAAACAGTGTAATGAATAGTTTTAACCGACACTGACTAAAGCTATACCTACAGTAAGTTATTAAGTTTTTTGTGCCTCAATATAAAACTAGCATAAGTGCGACTTTGATGACAAGTCAGTATGTGACATCTAATAAATCGTACCTGAACAGAGCCATCAGATGGGCAGCACTTCATTTAATACATTGTTTGGGTTGACAGGGTTACTGAGGTATGTTTCCCCAACCAAAAACCACGGTTTAATAGGGATATAAAACAGAAAATCAGGAAGAGATGAGAGGCTTTTAAGTCAGGGGACCAAGCGGAGTATAGGAAAGCCTGGTATGAGCTACAGAAGTCCATCAGAGCTGCAAAGAGAACATACTTCCAAGTCGGGTTATAGAAACTTGGTGAACGACATTCTTGTTTATGAAGAGGAGAATAAACTCATCCTCAACATAAACAAGATAAAATAAATAATAGTAGACTTCAGGAAGAACCCCTCTCCTCTGCTGCCTCTGACCATCAAAGGGACTGAGGTGGAGAGAGCTGACAACCACAAGTTCCTGGGCCTGCAGGTGACATCTGACTTGAGCTGGTCACTGAACGCAGCTGCCACAATGAAGAAAGCCCAGCAGTGGCTATACTTCATCAGGCGGCTCAGAAAAGCTGGGTTGAACAGTTGCCCTCTCACCCAGGCTTATAGAGGACTGGTAGAGAGGATCCTCACTACTGACATCACAGTCTGGTATGGTAACACCACACAGGCAGAGAGGAAGGCTCTTCAAAGGGTCATAAAGACTGCAGAGAGGATCACTGGGACTGAACTGCCTGCTATGGACACACTGTACACACAGCACTGTCGTAAAAGGGCAGAGAACATAATCAGGGATCCACGCCACCCAGCTCACACTCTGCTCAGACACAAAAACTGCACCTACAGCCTCAGGCACAGCAGGGCGGACAGTATCGTCACACACAGAACAAGACTTTACAACAGCTTTTTCCCAGTAAGACTGATGGCAAATATGAAAATGTGAAAAATGTGAGAATATATGTGCACTAACCCCTCACTACCTGACCAAGCGTAATGACATATCCAACTGCACCATGTGAATTACTAAGTGTGATGTTTGAAGTTCACTGTGGGAAATACTATTACTCTATTTTTGTGTATTGTGTTTTAATACTTTGTCACCCTTATGTAACTTTTTATTTTAAGGCTAAGTGTTCTTTCTGGCTTTTGACTCCTTACCTGACTCCAAAGGAGAGCTGCACAAAAATTCCTATATGCCTAGACTGTCTGTTTATGGGGTAACCAAATGGGCTCCTGCAACTCTGCCTCATTGGCACTGTTTCTTTGGTTATTTGAAGTGCTACATTCCTCTACAACAAGCAAGTCACATGGCGGTAGCCTAGATGGATTGGCTCTATAATATCAAAGATTAGGGTTTGCATCTTGAGTCCTGGGTGTGGTTAGGGTTAGGCAACAACATCATTTTGTTTAAGGTCAGGTAAAGACCATGGTTTTAGTTAAATCTTAAAGTATCTTTCTTTTTAGTACCAACATAAACATAACCATAAAGCACTTAAAACATGTGTTCATTATGTGCAGATGATGTCAGTAAATATTTTGCAGACATACACATTTATGAACATAATTCAACTTAGGAGATATGTTGGTTTGCTCATATTGTTGTTAAAAAAGATTTTCCTCTAAAACATGTTTGCTGTTTCTAATTAGAATGGATGTAATCTCTAGGTGCCAGGGGTGGCCCCTAGTGCATACTGAACTTAGAATTACACCCCTACTATCTGGCTATCTATCTGTCTAAACAATACTTAAACACATCTTGTGTTTATCATTCCATAGATGCTTGCCAACATGTTAAAAGGTCATGTTTTGCTTTGATATTACTCATCCAGGGTCTACCTGTGTCTATTTGGCTCATCATCACTAATGAATCAGAAAAAACTTCCTAAGTCAAATTAAAATGGGATCACAGCATCTGCAGTCGACACAAAATAAATTTTTCTGGACAATCCTTTAAAGGATTGTTGCTCACATAAATACTGTATGTAATATTTCATTTAATTAGCAATCTATGCCCTCTGACAAGCAGGCATATGGTCCTCGCTCTCCCACGGCCTTGGCCAAGGAATGAATATGCATATCTTGGGACCTCACTAGCTTGTTACCCTGGAATGAATTCTACACAAGCCTAATCCCTGATCTATTATTTACCCCTTGACCAAATATGCAAGTGGGGCTTCCAGACGGTTGACTTGATAGAAATGACTGCCCTGGGATTCGCCTGACTTTCTCACCCCAGTGGAGGCGCC